CAACTGCTAATGTTGGAAGTTCCTTGAGGAAGTTAAGAGCGTAGCATCAAGAGGGTGTTGGAAGTTGCTCGAACAATGATATTGATATTACCATTGTTAGCCCACCCCACCCACACCCAAACCTATGATATCATATGATCATTCGATGACAATGCTGTGAAACGTGCGCAACATCTCTGAAACGTTCACAACAACTCTGAAATATGCACCTCGGACATGTGCGAGAAATGACAAGAGCGCAATGGTACTGCACATGTGACATGCAACCCAAGCATGAAACTGCATGTTATCCACAATCCACAATCCAAAAACAGCAAAATTCGTGGGACTGTTGTAGGCAACTACAAGACTATAAACAACTCATCAGCTTATCTCAGTTCAACATTTCAAGTCTACAAAACAACAAAAACATACAAAACAACAAAAACATACAAAAACAACATCCACAGCATGACTACACTTTCCTACATTAAACAAACGGCTGGGAAATGCCATGTTATGCTAAGCACTTGAGCTCACCCGCCATGGCCTTGCGCAGGTTGGGCTGGCTGATGCTGCCCGTGCCATCATGGTCATAGAGCTTAAAGGCGCACCTGGGTATTTCCGAGTGGATAGAGCCTTTTCCAAATGAACTTTATCCAGCAACAAAACTGGGATAATGCTGGGATAATGGGATAATACTGGGTTTTAAATCACATATATAATCACATTATGCGCAATTTGGAATGCTTAGTCTCTGCTAATAGTCTCTGATGATCTAAGCATGCAAGGATCTCCCCCTTTCAATGATCTTCCCAATGCTCCTTCCCAACAGCAGTCCGACTTTTGGGCTTCAATCTCTGGGTCGGGGTATGCCGAGCGGAGCGTCATTTACCATAAATCAAAAGGAAAGCTCCAACATTATATTTCAGTAGGACAATTGCCTTCCACACCCATTGTTATTCCTTGCCATGTCTTTAAAGAAGTCTAGCCTATTGTGAGATTTCAGGCACAGCTTTCGAGTACAAACCGCAAAATATTGCAGCCATTTCTTTCCGGCCTTGCTTTTCATCTGGCTCATTTAGAATGGGGAACCACCATTTCTAGTTGGTGGTTTCAACCCCTCTGAAAAATATTAGTCAATGGGAAGGATTATCCCATATATTATGGAAAAATAAAACGTGTTCCAAACCACCAACCATATTTTCATAGCACACTAGCACTTTTTGAGGCACCAGGTGTGGTCGTTGGCTGCGAAAAGGTGCCACATGGTGCCACCAAGAGACTCCAACTGATGCTGGTTCAGCGGCACCTGAACAACCGCAAGTGCCAACTGAAGTCGTAACCAGTAACTCAGTATGATTTAACTTAACATTGTGATGGGAAAACAAAAAGCAATGCATAAGATTCATCAACATCTGCAAATTTCAACATTAAATTTGATGCTTGCAATGTACAAATGTTCAAGCCCATGCTTGCGGTGATCCAACTAGAATTTTATTGTAATACTACAATGTACAGCAACAAACAGGCCCAATAGCGCCCAATGCCTGTGTCATACAAATTAATGTTATTTAATGTTGCTCATGGCCAGGGGCAGGCCCCTTCCGGCCTGGGCTTCCTTGCCCGCAAGGCTCAAGAACCATTCCTCCACTAAGCAGAACCCCGGAAATGCTGGAAATGGACAGGCAATAGGGGGTTTGGGGTATCAATCCTCCCCATGGCTACCACTTGTGAATCCTGGGGCACCTATGCAATCTGTAAAGTCCAAGGCAGCTCTTTACTCGTGCGTTCATGTGCAAGAACTTCCTCGGGGCTCTAACTCATCCGAACAAATGCTCTTTGAAACAGAGACATGTTTTGCAACCTGAAAAAACAATATAAAAAAAGGCAGCCAAACATCCCAAACATCTCAGAGTCTCATTAGACATATCATGGCTCATGCACTTGGTGGCCCCTCCCTGAAACATATCGTCAATGGGGTCGTCATCACATGGTTGGATAGAACATCAACAAAATGTCAAAGCCATGTCAAAGCACCAAGCAGTACCCCACTTACAAACCATCCATATCCATATCCATATGGCCACAGTCACCATCAAAGATTTTTCGCAGGTCAAGTATCTTTGGCCACCTCACGCATCGTGTGATGCTGGGATCTGGTGCGAAATTGCGCCACGATGGGAACGTGATCTGACGGTTGCTGCCTTGGCACAGGGATTGAAAACCCGCTCCGGTGACCCAGGCCCCTCCCCCCCCAAAAAAAGGTGGGCTTCATGAAGAGCTTATTTGACATTTATCAACCGACAACAACCACTGTATACTTAGTTTTGGGTACCGACAACCCAGGAGTGATAAGCCCCCAGCTTATTTATAAGGGGGTAGCAAGTTTAGCAGCAAGTTATCACTGAACTTCCCAAAAAAAAAGTCAGGGTTTATTGACTGGGGCTTGACATTAGTCCTCTCGGTGTCCTCCCTTCATCATCCCACCTTTGGATTGCACACGTAGATGCATCAAGAAAACGTTATATACATAACAAAATATATGTAATATAATGTGTATATATATATTTATATTATATATACTTATATAATACATGTATGATATGATATAGAATGCCATGCCATATACATCGAGTTTAATATGTGTATAATTGCAAATAAATCCGTCCGTGTGTGTGTGTGTTTGTCTTTCTATATGTATATCCTTACCCATGTAAGAAAACTGAGAGAAACAATTGAAACCACGAACAATCTATATAATACATACATGCATCATATTAGCAGTTACCTCCATGTCCTTTGCCGCATCTGGTGGGCCCCTTCGTCCCAAGCTGCGCGTTGGGGATGGGCAGGTGCGGCGTCAAGTCGGGGATGGCCAGGAAGCACGGCATTCAATCTTTCCGATGTAGTGGGAAATTGGTGATATTCAAAGTAGATATCTCTCATATTCTTACACTTTAAATATGTATCAATATCTCTCTATATCATCCTATATCCATATCATGTCATTATCTAAATAAAATGTCATGTAGTAATCATAATCATAAAAGTACACATGCACATATCATATAATCTCAATTAATATCATATGTTTTGTCTATGGTCTTTTCTTCACAACGCTTCATCTGCCACACCGCTGTCCCCGTGACCTGAACGTCAACCAGTTCTAAGCGCTGGGATTGATACAGAATCGCATCAATTCCTCAGTAAAGATCAAGAGTGCCAGGCATGGCCGTGGACCCCATGGACCCCATGGACCCCATGGACCCCATGGACCCCATGGACCCCATGGACCCCATGGACCCCATGGACCATGGCTTGAAAATTTAGCAGAAAGCCAAAAGTTCACAACGTTTTGCTGTCTGCTGGCTGAAGATCATTGGGATAGCAATGGATAACATCAACAAAACTCACCCATTCTTGGGGTACTCAAATCTGAGCTGGACTTAACCATCATGGAATCATGGAATCCCTAGCGCTGATCGGAGGATGGCAACTGTCCGGGAACAAAGAAATCTTATTTAACCGCTAGTACAAGTACAACCCTGATCAATGCCCATCGACCTTTTGGCCACTGCGAACTGTTTGGGCCAAAGCTGGCTGGAAGTGCTCTTTTGTGGCTAGTGTCCATCATAGTCATCATAGTTTCTCACAAGCTGAATCCGCAAAAAGAACTACAGATATCAGAACTTAGTTGCCTGCACACTTGATCCTTTTGCACATGTTTCCGCAATGTGTAGCCCTTCTTTGTGTTTTTCCGCCATCAGCTTGGGAAAAGATATGGCTGCCCCACAGCTCCGCTAAGCTCCGCTAAGCTTCGCATACATCTAGCCATGGTCACTGAGGTGACGCCTGTGGGCACATCTGCACAGTCAAAGGTAAAGGGGTGAAGAACCACCTGTGCAGCCGAAGCCGTGGCCAACCAATGACTAGCGGCCAGGACTGCCAACTCTGATCCCACTAGAATCACTAGATACGAAATGATACGAATGAATGCTGGAACTATGCTTCAGAAGGTGGGCACTAAGCCAACTATCCAAACTATCCAATCTTTTATATGTCAAAGACATCTGATTTGTTTGCATTGAGACGAGGTTCTGGACACCCGAAAAACAGTTCACAAGGCAGTACTTTTAGAACCCATCAAATATTAATCGCAAAACCTAGCTATCCCCCCAAAGATAGCATAAGCATTTAGACTAGAAGATTGGTATACCCTGGAGGCATCATTTCTGGCAAGCATATCAATATGAACAAAAAATAAACACGTCTGCCAACATTAATTATATTGCTATGTTTATGTCTTAAAGTTGCATACTTTGGATGGAAAAAATCCTGCACCACCTTGGATGGTTGAACCCAAGAAAATAAGATAAACCACCTATCAACTGGTGCAGAATTTATTGCATTCACAGTATCACATTATACCTATATGTCTCTCTGCCACAGTCTGAATGCTGCAGAACCATCATTCACCTGCAAAGGCACCTCCCGATTCATCAGGCTCAGCGTGTTCGCTATGCCCCTCAAGCGACCAAAAGAGGTACAGTTCCTGGGTGACTGACAATTGTTTTTATTCGGCCGAATCCTGTGAAACACATCCTTTGGAGATATGGATGTGTATAAATAATAAATATATATATATATTGTCTGTATTTATCTGTACTGTATGATATATGTAATTATATGTATATATTACGTAAATATACTAAATATATTATATGTGTGTAAAACCCGTAAACTTGGTAAACTGTATACATATATATATATAAGCATCGGTACATCATCTTATCTGTATATACCCATTCATGTACACATCACATGTTGGAACCATAAACTTACGCAACAACTACATCCACTACGGTGAGCACACGGTCACCAGAGAGAGTACCCTGACAGCCAAACTTGAAATGACAAAAGGACCTGTGGTCCCTTGCTTGCCGAAAAACACATTGTCAAATCCCAGAATTGGCTACAGTAATGGAAAATCTGAAGTGTACTCCTCTATTTGGGGTTAAAGGGGTTAAGAATCATTGTTTCCTTCAAGTTGTTGCATCAGCCAATCCATTGAACCCCTAAAACCATTTGGTTTATCATAGCTTGTCTCTTTAAAATATTCTAAACTTGCTATTTGGAGGCCAAATCCCCCATTTTCAGAGACACCCAACAGTTTCTTCCTGCCGTTCTGCTTATGGTCACCCTGAACGTCCACGCTTGTCCAGTGTCCACCAGGGATCAAATCACCCGTGAGAACCACAGGAACGTCCAAGGCACCATGCCTCGAAAAAACAACGTTGGTTTTACAAGTTAGCCTCTGGTAAACTAACAGTTTGCTCTGGAAAATCATCATCTTAATGCTCGGTAAATCAACTATAAATAGGTAAATCAACTATAAACAAAAATTATGGAAAATCACCATCTTCAAGGTCGGCAAATCAACGAACCGTATATGGGCCATGGCTTCAATAGCAAAACTGTTAGTCATTACCAGAGGGTATATCAAGTTGTCCTCTGGTTATTTAAAATAGGTATATATAGGTATGGAACATGGTCAATTTGTAGATGAATTATCATGACCTACCTATTAGCTCAATGGCACATTGAGGAACCTACCATATATGACGCCCATTTTTGAGGGCCAAATTTCAGGCAATATCCACAAAATATTGCCTCACATGGTACAATACCTCCACTTTAATTTAGGGTCCTGGAAGTCCCACTGAATCGAATTACCCTCAGGTTATTTAACATAGCTATGGAAAATGGCCCATGTATAAATGATCTGTGATGATTTACCTAGTAGTATGAATGGTAATTGCCCATAGCTACGTTACATAACCGGAAGTTATGTTATAGTGATTTACCAAGAATAAACCACCCATAAATGGGATGTGAAAATCTTCCTCAAATGACTCAAAAGGGTGTCGCATACTTGATTTACGGCAGGATGAGTCCATGGCATACAGACCTGCAACCTGTACATTGTCTGTATGTGCAAATGATGTTCCCAAATTCTGCTGACATCGTCTCTGAGTCCCTTTCTACTGAGAACAGCGCCTACAACACAGATTTATCAAAGCAACTGTCTTATACAGGGATGTACATCAGTTCCCGTTTAGTCTGCAACCAGGGATACCAGGGCAATATAGAAAATCATACTTGCTTGGCATTTGCGGCGGCTATAAATGGGTTTCCAGTTCTGCTTGCTCTAGGAATTTGACGAACTGCACCCAATCCTAGTGGGTTGCACCAAAACACATCCATCCACGATACTTCGCGGTACCAAAATGAATTGACTTACCCCGCTTGACATGGATTCATTTCAGGGAACCATCATGAAACATTTAGTATGATGGGAAGAATTTCTGGCGTATATAGGTCAACTAACAATTCATTGCACGGATACATGCACGTGTTAGGTATCGGTATAAGACACAACCATGACCACAAACAAGAACCGCTACACATTGCCGATCTTTGGTTCTAGGTTTAATCAGCAACCAAGAGGCTGACTGGTAAATTCCACTAGTGCTCGGAGCACTTGTCCCCCCTGTCTCTGAAGATGCAGTGTACCGCCACAATTCGGGATTTCGATGAGAATTCATGAAAAATCAGAATGGGACCAAAGAAAAACTATGCGTACAACTAACCAGCAAGAAAAATAATACTATGTTCCCGTACATTTTTCAGAATAAGCATGATTATAACATGATTAAACCAGCAATCATATCGAACATTTACCATCCGAATTCCCGTGTGGAATTGCCGTCATTGCCTGATTCCTGGAGCGAATGCACAAACAGAAACAAAGACCCAAAGCTTGGGACAGATTGAACACACAAAATCACACATAGCTGATTATATAATGGTTGTTTATTCCCCAAATATGGAAGATGGAGCTGATTATATATATATAGTAACCGGCTAGCACTTAGAATATTCATCATTGTTTTTTTCGAATAGGTCTATTAGTTACATGATTTTCCTGGGTGAAAACAATATTCTAAGTGCATATCCACAGACGATGCACATAGAATATAAACCTTGTAAAGATGTGCTGAGTTGATCATGAATCAAACCATCATGTTGCATGGCGATGTCCGCGCTGTTTACTTTAGATTTCACTGATCAACGATTTGC